TTATCTTTCATATAATTTTTTCTTTATTTTATTAATAAAATATATTTTAAATATTTTTTTCATAGATCAGTAGAATCAGTCAATCCAATCACTTCAACCAGAATTTCATAAATTTCAGGAGAATCTGTTAGCCGATTTGAGTATTATCAAACAGGCTCTAAAGTAGCACCTCTACTTGAGTAGACCTAGATTTTTAAACTCTTAAAATTCATGAACTTTTAAAATTTTATTGGAAAAATTGACAAGAATAATCCCACCTTTCATTGGTCTTCTCATAATAATCCCACCTTTAAATAATCTCACCTTTGCACCTCATCTTCTTTCATTGGACCCTGATCATGTTTTTTACTCTTTCTTTGAAAATTATATAAATAATCTCACCTTTCACTTTTTAATTATATCCTTATAAATGTGAGATTATTTATATAAGATTTTTAAAAATGGTAAAAAAACTTGGTCAGGGTCCAATGAAAGAAGATGAGGTGTAAAGGTGAGATTATTTTGGGATTATTTAAAGGTGGGATTATTATGAGAAGACCAATGAAAGGTGAGATTATTTAAAGGTGGAATTATTATGAGAAGACCGGTGAAATGTGAGATTATTCTTGTCAAGTTTTCCAATTTTATTTTAAGACTAATTCTAATAAAATACACCCATTTACTACTAATCAAGAAATACTATTCTTGTGGAATTCTCATATTTTATAAGGCGAGAAGAAATATTTATGATCATTTGATCAAGGCTAATGATTAGAACAAAAGTTAGATGGAGTAAAAAACAAAAAAGGGGCGCAAGAGGGAATTGATCCCTGGATCTCCATGGAAAACAACCCTCAATACCAGTTCTGCTGCCATCCATCCGCTGGTTTCCATTGCAATCACACTATCTTTATTTATTATTTATACATCTTTTAGTACATTTAATATAAAATATACGGAGTATATAATATATATAGTTATTTTTTCGGAGGTCCATGGGGTCCCGGGACCTCGTGGGATCCTTAATGGGTCCGCCACTGCGTACGCCTCCATGATTTTGCCAAGGACATCCTTGAATAATATCCCGATCATCCTCTGGAAGGTCGCCATTGCGTTCCTTAGGCCGAACGGCATGACAACGTAACAGTATACCCAGTCCGATGTGACAAATGCAGTCTTCTCAGCATTGTCCGGGTGCATGAATACTTGGTGATACCCCCTGAAGGCATCCATAAAGCTGAGCAGCTCGCACCCTGCGGTATCATCCACTAACAGATCAATTGTTTGTACTGGGTAGGGATCCATGGGGCATGCTTTATTAAGATCAGAATAGTCGACGCACATCCGCCATGTAGGCCCCTTGGGCGCCAAGACCACGTTGGACAGCCACTCCACATGCATAACAGGCCGAATATGGCGTATGCTGAGTAGGGAGGTGACTTCCACCTTGATGAAGTCCCGCCGTTCAACTGACATGTATCTTTTCTTCTGTTGCACTGGCCTGGCATCCGGCCGAACAGCCAACTTATGCGAACTTTTGTGCCCATGCAAGCACCTCTGCGTAGTTACTCTTGGGGTTCCTTTTCAGATCCAGGTAGAGGTCCCCTGTAGTAAGTGCATTGGTGAAGAGGGTGATTCCAGTGCTTTCCGGAAGGTCTTCGACTTCGAGGGTCTCATCCCTCCATCTGATGAGGAAAGCAGATAAGGACTCCCCTTTATTCTGGCGGACGTTCGTCAATTAGCTGAAATGTTTCTTCGGTGTAGTGGTGGAAGCGAACTGTGCCATAAACTGTCGAGAAAGTGGCTCGAAACTGTCAATGGACCCGGGCCTGAGCTGCCAGAACCATTCCTGCGCTGGTCCCTGAGGGAGCTGAAGAACAGCCAGCAGATGGCCTCGTCAGAGGCTCCCAGCATGGAAAGGGTTCCTAGGAAGGAAAGCAGGTGAGCTTTGGGGTCTCCGGCCCCGTTGTAAACAAAAGCCCGAGGGGGGCGGACGTCCCTTGGGATTTCTACCATCATTATCCTGGCGGAGAAAGGTGAAGATAGAGCAACCCTGGGTTATGTCAGTGTAGCCTCCGTTCTTAGATTCAACTCATCAATCTGCCTCTGCATCTCCATGAGCATCGCGTCCCGCGTATCGGGGTTAATCGATGCTGGGTTTACCACTGTCAAGGTGTCTCCTCTTGGCATGATTCCGAAATTTTGCTGCCCATGGATGACACGAGCCTCCTGCCTCATGCCATCCATCACGGGAGTGTGCTCCCTGACCGCCCGCTCATTACGGGGCATCACTGGTGTACGGTTCTGAACCGTATGACGATGTGCTTCTCTGAAGGGTCCGACTCCTTCGACGCCCCCCATATCCTAAGAATGGATATTCCTGTTGATCCTAGTGTGGACCGAACGGCGAGAATGGTTATTCTCACCAGTACGCTCGTCGAGCGACTGCATGGAACAGATAAGCGAGAGCGGCGTCCGTTCTGTATTAGCGGAGAATACGCGCTCCGCCTCCTGCTGGTCCGCCATACGACGGACGTCATCTGCTATCTCTCTCAGGGCATTCGGGTCCTGTTGGACCTCGTGAGGGATCAGGTCAGTGAGAACCCCGAGATTCCCCCGAGTCCACAAACTGCTGGACTGGCCCCCGTTGCCTCATTGCGGCTTCTCCTGCTATGAGCCAAACGTGATGAGAGGTCGTGTGAGTTTCCTGCGTTGTTAGTAGCCATTTTACATGTCTTGTGATTGTTTTAGAATTTCTTAGTGGAGAGCTTAGTTTGAAAGAACTTTTTGATAGTTTCCCACAGGCCACAGATGGCACCAGTGTTGAGGTTTATTCCTTAAACCTGCAGGCCCAACACGGGATCAGGTGACCGTTTTTTACTCTAAGGTTCCCATTTATGGATCATTGAATTATATTGCTTCTCTAAAGATGATTAATTCCGAGGCTGTTTCACGGGATAACGGTTGTCAGATTTCTTTTTGTCATTTTACCCACACTCTGAACTATCAGTTAATTCCGAGGCTGTTCCGAGGCTGATCCATCCAAGTGTAAGCTTTAGCCCGTAGAGAAAGTCCAGTAGCCCATTTATTTTATTTTGGCGCTAAAATTGCCGCCAAAATAACTTCCCTTTTCTTTGCATTTCATGCCCTAACACTACACCTTCTTCAGCACTTCAACACTCCAGTGTACTCAAGTGAGGCAGACATGGCGGGTGAAAATGGTGGGCGTAATGGACGTCAGAGCAGCCTCACGGTGTCCTCTAACAATGGGGACCGGAATCGAGCACTGACACCAGATTCACCGTCGTCGTTAGGATTCAACACCGACCAACTCCCATTCAACACCAGCCAAGCATCGGAGGCTTACTCTGACGAAGATGAGGCTGCCATTGATCCGGATATAATTAGAGATGAGCCTGACGTCGAGGTAGAAGAGGAAGATGGAGAGGATCTCTTCAACGACAATTTCCTCGAGTTAGCACTTTTTTTCTAAGTTGATATGTGCAATCTTTCTGTTATTTGGACTAAAATGCGACTTCGCTCATTTGTTCACCTATTCAACTCTTCGAATTATCAGCGATTACCGAAAGATGCTCATGCCTCACACCGCAAGTTGCCTCAGCTTCTTCACGATCAAGGTCCAGCCGTCACTTGTTTTTCAATTTGAAATTTTGTCCGTTTCTCTGCAGGTTACCCAGTCATTTATAAAATTTCTTCACGTATGTTACATGCCAGATGACACGCCATATTAGTTTTCAATTTTTACTTGATAATTGTCAATGGCCAAGACGTTTTCTTGCTACATGAACATGGCTATAGTTTGATTACAGTTCCCAAAGGAAATAAATCGACTCCCACTTTCCCATAAAATTCTTCTCACTTCCCATCTGTCTCGTAAAATTTTTCTCATTTCCATTTTTGGAAAGTTTTGTGTGTCTAACATTTAGATACCTTTTTCTTACCAAACCACAACCACACATATCTACTTTATTCCCACTTTCTTAATAAACGTGCAAAGTCAAACTGAGAAGTACTTTTTGGGATGGAAAGAGTATTTTTTTACCTTGTTGACTATGTTTCACATCTTACATAGTATTCTTTACTCATCCTTTGGAGAAATTGGTTTTGGCAGTGTCCATATCTATTTTTACTTATGCCTTGTAAAAGTGCAGCACAGTAGACTAAGAGTGGTTTTGGAGTCAAGTGTTTGAGTTAAACTTGAGCTCCCATTCACCATTATTTTTATACAGCAATATGTAATATCACCAAGTGCTCATAATAAAGTAGAGCAACATGCCGATCTAATCCCTAAAGTTTCTTAAAAAGCATAATGCCATGGACTCCTAAAGTCTGTCAAAAAGCGGATTATGTGTATCATGTGTGTAGCATCCACTTAAACTTGATATCTTCAGCTGATCAACTCTTTACATTGCAATAACTCATTTTTTTTTAAATCTAAATAATGGATCGTAATCTGGCATTTTTTAGTTATTAGTGGAATAACAGCCAGAACTACTAGCTTCTGAATTTCTGGTTATATGATCTACTTTGTAGTTGCATAACACATCAGTCAGTTACTAAGTTGTACGTGTGAGAATGAGCATAAGAGAATAAGGCCTCATTTGGCAGCACTAATTGGATAGTTATGCTTATCAGCGAAATAAATGGTCTTTAAATTAATTATTTATCTAATATCAATTTTACTAAAGTTTGTATCTTTCACAAAATACCGCATATTCAGCCAAATTAACCTTAGCAATGGGCTCCGAGTATAACAAGCTAGATACGAAGTATACAACAACATCATCCAACCTTATTCCCACAAGATCTTGGGGTCGGTTAACATGAATTGATACATGATATCAGAGACAAAAAAGAAGAAAGATAGGGTAAGATAAGATGGATAAGATAAAAATAACATAAGAACATAAGATAGATAAAAGATAAAAGAGATAAAGGAAGAGAAGAGATCAATCGCCACACAAAGTATAAACAAAAAAATTAATAAAGCCATTGGATACCTTCTGATGCAATGCTGGAACAATAGCACGGTGTCTGACACGCCATATCTCTCCATCTGCTGGTATGAGTCCCTTCCCCATAACAAACTCCAAAATTTCAGCTAGGATGCCTTGAACGTCAAAACATGCATTCAAAATTAAGGAGTGGTGGATATTTCAAAAATAAGCCATAAAAAGGCTAACTAACCTTGGAATAAGCCTTTGAGTTGTCTTTCATTTTATATCCCATTAATACAAACTTTATAAATGACTGGGTAACCTGCAGAGAAACAGACAAAATTTCAAATTGAAAAAACAAGTGACGGCTGGACCTTGATCGTGAAGAAGCTGAGGCAACTTGGGGTGTGAGGCATGAGCATCTCTGGTATCAAGCTCCACTTCAGCGGCATGCCGGTCTGCTAAAATCTGATCAATACCTCTTTCATCCTCGATCGAATTATCAAGGCCAAGTGATTCATACTGGTCTTGTTCATCCATCCTTCCGTAATCGCTGATAATTCAGAGAGTTGAATAGGTGAAGAAATGAGCGAAGTCGCATTTTAGTCCAAATAACAGAAAGATTGCACATATCAACTTAGAAAAAAAATGCTATAACTTGAGGAAATTGTCGTTGAAGAAATCCTCTCCATCTTCCTTTCTACCTCGACGTCAGGCTCGTCTCTAATTATATCCGGATCAATGGCAGCCTCATCTTCGTCAGAGTAAGCCTCCGATGCTTGGCTGGTGTTGAATGGGAGTTGGTCGGTGTTGAATCCTAACGACGCCGGTGAATCTGGTGTCAGTGCTCGATTCCGGTCCCCATTGTTAGAGGACACCGTGGGCTGCTCTGACGTCCATTACGCCCACCATTTTCACCCGCCATGTCTGCCTCACTTGAGTACACTGGAGTGTTGAAGTGCTGAAGAAGGTGTAGGGTTAGGGCACGAAATGCAAAGAAAAGGGAAGTTATTTTGGCTGCAATTTTAGCGCCAAAATAAAACAAATGGGCTACTGGACTTTCTCTACGGGCTAAAGCTTACACTTGGATGGATCAGCCTCGGAACAGCCTCGGAATTAACGGATAATTCAGAGTGTGGTTAAAATGACAAAAAGATATTTGACAACCGTTATCCTGTGAAACAGCCTCGGAATTAATCATCTTTAGAGAAGCAACATAATTCGATTATCCATAAATGGGAACCTTAGAGCCAAAAACGGTCACCGTATTCTTCTAATCCCCACATTAAAAATCAACGTCTTACAATCAGGAACACTAAATAAAAAACAAACAGCACATCGGAAGTAAAAATCACTGAATAAGCAAACAAAACAAAAATTAAAAGACTTCTGTCTCAGCCAGCAAACTCGAACAGTCCCTCGGACTTGCAGCCTCCATTCTTTCATCAGCAGCTTCGACGGGCTTAAAGAGCAAAGCCCGTCTCCTCTTCGTTTTTTGCCCCATCCAAAACCATGGTGTCCTCTTCTTGTACCTTCTCTGTCCGAGTCTCCCAGATTTCCCTTCTCTTTGAAACCTCTTCTTTTGATTCCTCCCCTCCTCCTTTGGTAATGCTTTGGGCTGAATCGGTCGTTGCCTCTTTCTCTTTTTCACCTAGCTTCTCTTCTGATTTATATGCCCCAGTATATCCACCCGTTTTGCCGGAGCTCGATGAACCCTCCACGAGCCAATTATTACCTCTTGTTGGGCTGGTCTTCACCCCGCTTCCTACTCTAAGATGGATTCCAAATCTTTTTTCTAAAACTAAGCTTTCTTCATAATTTAGACGACAAAAATTATTTAAATATCCAATGAAACAAAAGTTGGGTAGTCTTTCATATTTGAAATCCACCCAAAAACTTTTGCCATCTTTTTTTAGATTTGTCCCCCTTTTCAGCGATTTATCCACCTTCATAAGAACCCTAACCCGCATATATGGCTCTAATTTATCACTCTTCTGATTGTCAATATATTTTATAAATTCCCCTATGCAATTTCCCACCCGTCCGGCAGTACCGAGGGTAACAAGACTATAGGGAACATTATGAATCTTATCCCAAAACTCAATCTCATTTAAAATAATTTAATTTGTGTGGGATATCATCAGGCATAACCTCTTTTAACATCAACAGACTACGCTCAAATTGTCATGGTCCTCCCTCAAGCATACGCATCATATCAAAACGATGAGAAAAAGTAAACAGATACCCTTTTTCCCCGATTTCCTTAACCACCATGCCCTTCCCCGGTCTCCACAAGGATAACATCATCTCCTTGAGATCCGAAAATTTTACTTTCCTATCGATTAAAACCTGGCCGATCAACGAGAACCCTTTTGGACCTGTCTCCACCAGAGCTTAATCGACATCAAGATCATTAAGGTCAAGCTCCTCTGTATCTTCACCAATCACCGTCTGCTTATATCTATCAACAAAAGCTTCCATGCGCCACCTGGTCCGCCGCACTGCCACTGCTTTGGTTTCAACCGTCGTTCACTGCTCGCCAAGCTTCTGGATAAATACACCAGCCACCTCCCTTACCCGCGAATTACCAGACATGACGCTGCCTTAATCCACCAACCCGTCCCCCCGATCACCGCTCAATCCAACCAGTCCCACACGCCCTTCAAAATTATCGAAGGCGGACAAAACTAGGAGTTGCGCGAGGCAACCCTAGACACTTGGATGGACCTTAAAACAATGGATGTCATCATTTTATATCAAAAACAAAATGACAATTACGGTAGTTTTATTTGTTAAATTTAACACGTATTAAATTACTACTCGTATCTGCAATCACCAACTCCAATATACTATACTAGTACGTCTACCCGTGCACTGCACGGTAAAATACGTGGTAAATTGTTTTCTAAAATTATAGAGATCGTGAATAAGGTGAATTGTATGTGAATTCGTTGGAAAATAAAACTCTAGAGAGTATATATGAAAACTATGTTCCATATTTATGCCTCCCAATTTGATGTATAACTTAAATAAAAAATTATCCGGGTATAGCTTTTAAAAAATATAAAAGAGTGGTTATTATAATAATATCAAAAAGGCATACAAAATAACCTTTAGACAGTTAAAAATTTGATAATAATCAGAATTAGAAAAGAATAACAAATACGCAATATATGTACTTCTTAACAAATACTATATATTACCTTTTACTTTTTTCATAATTATGTGGATGCTTGATGCTAGGCATCGACCGGTTTCGGTATGACCGGTCTGGGAACCGGCCCGACCCGCCATTGTGCGGGCCTGGACCGGCCCGGTTAACCGGTCCCGGTTCCAGGCCTAGGCCCGGTTCGGGGTTGGGCGGGGTGGTTCCGGTAAAACCTGTCCTTTTGTACCGGCCCGGTCGGGCCCGATTTGGGCCTTCTGTTTTCCGATGTTTTTTGTTTTTCCCGGGTTGGGCTGGGTGTATTTGGGGGGGGGGGTTGGGGGGTGCTCGGGGGTTAAGTATAAAAGCAAAAAAAAAATGAAGAAGCTCGGGGACCACCCCGGACCCGGTGGAAACCCGGGCCTCTTCCGAGCCCAAAGCCAAACCCAAAAAACCCACCCAAGACTGGCCTGGAGCCCGGCCCGGGACCGGTCCATGCCTACTTGATGCTCCCATACTCGGTTTTTGTTAAGAAGCCAAAAGAAGTCAATATATTGCGTATGTGTTGGGTTAATGGCCCGATAAGGGCCGGCCCACCAACCCGTAAGGACCTCCTACGAACGTCCTACGAAGGCCCGGGAAGAAGGCCAAGTGTCAAGGCCCAAGAGCTATAAGACTTGTGTATCCCACCGTCGGCTAACACCAGGACCCAAGGATCAGGAGATGTACGGGCTCCACTGTTAGCAGGTATCCAAGCCCAAGGCCCTTGTGAGGTCCACGGAGACGAGCGTCCCCAACACCGCGACAGGGCATCAGGGGCAGCCAAGTGCAGGAGGACGAACGTCCCTTATTCCTATGTCTGGAGATCAGGCTTCCATCAGGAGATTGAACCCAAGCCCTTGGGGACGAACGTCCCCACCCCATAGCGAGAAACCAAGATTCTGTCGGCAAACACATTTAATACAGACGATTTGGTGGTTGGGATCATGTCGCCCACAGCCAGCCATGTTGACGTCTCTAGCTACCCCTCGATAGTATAAATAGCAGCATTTATTTCACTGTAAAGGATTCGCAATTTAGCACTCTAGCACTCTTGCAGTAAAAGCAGTTCGTAGCATAGCACAGTACGTTCGGCCCTTCGGCTTGTAATAGTTTGAGTGAATAAAGACAGTTTATTGGGTCATTTTCCTGTTTTGTTTTCCATTTTGTTAGCCCACTTTCCATTCAAAACTCTCTGGTTACATGTCGGGCCTGCGGGTTGAAGGAATAAACCTCAACACTGGCGCCATCTGTGTGAAACTGTTCAAAAAGTTATTTCAAACTAAGCTCTCCACTAAGAAATTCTAAAATAATCACAAGACAGGTAAAATTGCTACTGACAACGCAGGAAACTCACACAACCTCTCATCACGTTTGGCTCACAGTAGGAGAAGCCGCAATGAGGCAACGGGGGCCCAGTCCGACAGTTTGTGGACTCAGGGGGATCTCGGGGTTCTCACTGACCTGATCCCTCGTGAGGTCCAGCGGGACCCGAATCCCCTGAGAGAGATAGCAGATGTCGTCCGTCGTATGGCGGACCGGCAGGAGGCGGAGCACGTGTTCTCCGCTAATACAGAACAAGCGCTGTTCTCGCCTACCCGTTCCATGCAGTCGCTCGGCGAGCGTACTGGTGAGAATAACCATTCTCACCGTTCGATCCACACTAGGATCACTAGGAATATCTATTCCTCGAATATGGGGGGGCATCTAAGGAGCCGGGCCCTTCAGAGAAGCAAAACGTCATACGGTTCAAGACCGTACACCAGTGATGCCCCGTAATGAGCGGGCAGTCAGGGAGCACACTCCCGTAATGGATGGCATGAGGCAGGAGGCCCGTGTCATCCATGGGCAGCACAATTTCGGAATCATGCCAAGAGGAGACACCTTGGCAGTGGTAAACCTAGCATCGATAAACCCTGATCCGCGGGACGCGATGCTCATGGAAATGAAGAGGCAGATTGATGAGTTGAATTGAAGAACGGAGGCTACACCGACACAACCGAGGGTTGCTCTATCTTCACCTTTCTCCGCCAGGATAATGGCGGTATAAATCCCAAGCGACATCCGCCCCCCTGGGGCTCTTGTTTACAACGGGGCCGGAGACCCCAAAGCTCACCTGCTTTCCTTCCAAGGAACCCTTTCCATGCTGGGAGCCTCTGACGAGGCCATCTGCAGGCTGTTCTTCAGCTCCCTGAGGGGACCAACCCAGGAATGGTTCAGGCAGCTCAGGCCCGGGTCCATTGACAGTTTCGAGCAGCTTTCTCGATAGTTTATGGCACAGTCCGCTTCCAGCACTACACCGAAGAAACATTTCAGCTAATTGACGAACGTCCGCCAGAATAAAGGGGAGTCCTGATCTGCTTTCCTCATCACATGGAGGGATGAGACCCTCAAAGTCGAAGACCTTCCGGAAAACACCGGAATCACCCTCTTCACCAATGCACTTACTACCGGGGACCTCTACCTGGATCTGAAAAGGAACCCCAGAAGTAATTACACAGAGGTGCTCGCTAGGGCACAAAAGTTCGCTGCAATCGAGGAAGAGATTGCCCAGCGGGATGGGGTGGCAACCCCTGTGACGCGTAAAGTGTCGTCAGACCGACTAGGCCCGGGGCCAACAGATTCCCCGTCACTGAAGAAGAAGAAGACCAGCGGATACGTCCTATGGGCCGCACAGGAACACCCTGGTGACGATCGTCGCATGGATGCCAGCCATGCTCCCTTGGCCTACCCCCATCAGCTAGATTTTTGGAGCTATTAAGGACAAGGGCTGCTCAAGGAGCTTGTACCCACCA